GCGCACGAACAAGAGTCTCTCGGTGGCAAAGACGTTCAAGCTCGTGAGTGTGCTGAACCCGAAAAGAGCCAAGAGGAAGAAGAAAAGACCCAAGCGGTTTTGGAATCCGGGAATATCGTCAGTCAAGCCGTAAAACAGGTATCCCGACAGGACCGCGAGAAGGATGGCGATGGCGTAGTGCGTCAACATTAGAATCGGGTTTCTGTAGAGGTTCTTCCAGGTTCTGTTGGAGAGTATGATGAATTGGCGACCAAGACCGACCCGAGCATAACCCTTGCCGATAGCGCTGATGTTGATGTTAGGGCCCTCTGGGTTGTATCCGTTCGCATTCTGTCCGTTGGCGCCTCGGGCAGCTGAAATCGATTGCTGGATCTCATCGTGTGTCGAACCAGCGATATCCGACTCCGCAAAGGATCTGATCAACATGTCCAGATCGGTACCGATATAGGCAGCAGGGGGGAGATCATGGGGATCCTCAACGTTGATCGTGGGAACAAAGCCAGCAGGTTGGTTCTGTAGCTTGTAAGATCCAACATCCTCACCGCCAGCGTCGGAGGAGGCCGCTGTGTCGACGGTGTTCTTGCGACGCGTGTAGAGCTCCCGCTCCTGACGAATCCTGACCGAGTCGCGGCGGCTGTTCTTTGGGCGCGAAGTGGAAGATTCGACACCACTGTCCTCAGCAATGCTTCCAGGGATGCTCGCGATGGACTTAACAGCAGTAGTGCTGCTGGGTCCCAGGCTGGCGACTTCCGCGTTGAGGGTGCCATCATCCTCTGACGTAGTAGATCCGGCATGCATCGTGAGGTCGACTAGGTAGTCTGCAATGTTGAAACCGGGAGGGCATGAGTATCCAATGCGGTCGAAGTAGCCCTGGCATTGCGAAAAGGGGCCGGAGTAGACTGCGCCTCCGCGCGCCAGCAAGATGAGTCGGTCGAAAAGCGCCACAATGTTGGATCGCGGCTGGTGAATCGTGAAAACAACGGTTCGCTTGTAGTTCTTGGCCAAGGTGACCAGGCACTCGATGACGTTGAAGGCATTGTAGGCGTCGAGACCGCTAGTAGGCTCATCCAAGAACAGGATCGAGGGGCTGGTGACAAGTTCACAGGCGATACCAACTCTGCGTTTCTCTCCGCCAGAGATACCTCGGCCCTTGCCTTCCTCAGAGCCAATCAGCGAATCACGAATGTGGTAGATTCCGAGTTGCTTCTCGACTTCGAAGACGCGCTGTTCCTTGGCGGTTCGACCCATATTGCGAGGTAAACGGAGAAGCGCGCTGTTGAGAATAGTCTCATGCACCGTGAGGGTGGGCAACATCGTGTCCTCCTGGTCGACGAATCCAATGACATTCTTGTAGTCCGTGTCGTTTACCTTCTCGCCGTTGACGAAGAAGTCGCCAGAAATGTTACCGCGTTTGTTTTTCCGAGCCAGAATATCAAGGAATGTAGTCTTTCCAGCACCCGATGCACCCATGATGGCGGTGACCTCTCCGGGATGGGCCATGCCTTGGATGTTGTTCAAGATCCTCTTGCCGTTGAGCTCGTAGGCAACATTCTCGAAGTACAGAGAGGCGGGCTTGTGGTTGGTCATAAGCTTCAAGCTCTCATCATCCGAGTCATCCAAGGCGATAGCACCATAGTTGAACTGCCTTCTAGACAGGTACCAGGTGAGAAGAATGATGGCAACGACAAACAGGGAGCATGCCGCGATGATGCTGGCGATAAGTGGAGTGTTGATCTTCTTGACGGGGCGCTCGTAGCCAGGGACCTCGGTGTGATACAGACACTCGCCGGAACGGCAAGTGAGCTGGATGCTGCTGTCGCCGATCAGCTGAAGGATGAGATCGTCCATTGCGGGCTCTTTAAACGCGCAGTTGTTGATCCCTCCATTCTTTTGAAGACACTCAAACTCGGCGGGGCCCTTGATCTCCTCGACGAGGAAGTCGCTAATGTCGACGGAACCATTTTCGCCACAAAGCATTCGCTCGGAGATGCAATTGCACTCGATCTTGTTGCACTTGTAATCGGTGCTATTCTGGCTCTCGTTGATATCGGCCTTGGACGAGCACTCGGTCAAATGGCAGTAGAAGGACTCGCGCTCGTCAACCCAGACTGAGGATGGTTAGCAACAGTTGTTGACTCGGAGCTTGAAGCGCAAGGACTCGGCTCGGACTTACACTGGAAGTCACAGTTACCCTCCTCTTTCTTACAAGTGAAGGTAACCTGAGGTCGCTTGTCGCCCAGAAGGTCGGTAATCTTCTTGTTGGTGACATCACAGATCTGGTAGTTGTGGTTAATGACCTCGCCATTCTGGTAGCACACGCCACCCTCTTGAGAGGGCATTAGAGCGTTACACGCCTGGTTACTCGTGCAGACGTTGCAGTTGATGCCGGTCCAGCCGTCGTCGCATTCGCAAAGGTCGCCAGATCGTCGTGGCCTGTCCGTGTTGTCGCCACGGGAGAGGGAACCGCAAACTGTCGGGGTTGTCAGTGATGCGCTTCGCTTGTGCGACAAAGCGGTTCAGAAGTGGGCGGCGTACGTGGTTCGAGGCAGTCATCACCGCCAAAACCTTCGGGACAGTTGCATTTGCCTGTATAGTCATTGCAGCCGGCGAACTGGGTGCACTTGTGGGCGGGGAGGAGACAGTTGAAGCTGCGCGCAACGTTGTCAGCCTTGGGGTCATGGTCGCAATCCCGACAGCGGTTCGAAGTGCCAATAGCGGATTCGACAAGGTCGCGAGAGGCGAGATGGAACTCACCAGGGAGGGCAGTTGTCGGGACGATCGTCGAGCAGCGTCAGCTGAGCTCGCAGCATGTCGGCGGTAGAATAGTTACGCTGGGCCATGGCGAGTGTTGGAAGACATGCCAGGGCCCCGATGAGGAGGCTCCTCAGGCTTGGAGGAGCCATGATGGGCGTTTCGACGGAGAGACGACGCCGCACCGATAAGCGGACGAAAGAGCGGGCTCGGGGTTATCGTCGATGGTGAAGGCGACTAAAGGAAACAGACGATGTCAGAAGAGAAAAGGGAACATGAAGGTTAGCAAACGGAGTGATGGATGAATAGCAGCAGAGCGGCGGATGGCGAAGAAGCTCTGGCTCGGGTTGACTGCGGTGGCAGGAAGAAGAGAGCGGAAGATAGGTAGGCAGGCAGGTAGGTAGATGGGCAGATAGACGACGTACCTGTGACCTTGTGGCACCGCAGTCCAAGCTGGCCGAGTGACGGAGCCGGTACCTTGCTGAAGGAGGAAGCTGGGGTAGGTCCCCAAGAAGGTCTTAGGTCGTGGGTGTTGTAGTGTAGGCGACGAGAGTACGTACACACGGCCGATAATAACCCGCGTGCCCGCTTGGCTCCCACGTCCCACGTTCCGCCGCCCAGCAACGCGCCGCACACCTCAGTTACAGCGACCTGGACACCTGTACGGTGGCGTCACAGTGGACACGTCTACCCCACTGCGCCTGTCGGAAACACGCACCAGCGTCCCGTGGGGTGGCTGAACTCCAACAAGTGCTCCCACATGGAAGTACAACCACAACGCAACAGAGTTCGGGTGTCTGGTCTTGGTTGCTTGCGCTGTTTTCCGCTGCCCGCTCAGGCAACCAGCTGCGTGGGACGGGACGGCGGGCAGACTGACGCTAAGAATAACCCCCAACAATCTGTCTGTCTGTACCTGTCTTTGAGAGAGGGAGACTAGGAACAGGGAACACGCCAGGAGCCAGATCCATGAGCATTACACTCTTGCTAACATCTACCCGCTCATCTGGCGGCGAATTGCCCATTGAAACGACGCCTCGCAATGAATCCGGTCCTAAGCGCAAAGTAAGCCACATGTTGACAAGACAAGCACAGAACATTACGCAGTCCATCTGACATGCTAATCTTCAGCCCACACATGCCCAAGGTAGGGCATCTGTCCCGCCATGTCAACGACTCGTACCTCTAAGAAAAGAACAGCGTGTCTTGGCTGCGACATGGCCAGCGTCTTCTCGCGGATAAACACAATACATAGTCAACATCCAGGACAGGACCCCGCCCTCTCAAAATCATGCTTTCTGTGACGACTGACACTGCCGCCAGATCCTGGGCGGATTCGGGAGCTGGGGAAGTGTGGAGAAGCCTCACAACAAGGATGTCTGGATCCCACCCGACCGTCCGCCAATGTGGTTTGTAACTGAAGAAGAAGTGAAGAGCATGGCCAAGTGTCAGGCCAACTCAAACAGTTGTTACTTCAGCCACGACTCAACATTGCAATCAGAGGACTGGTCTCGTGCGCAGTAGCCCATCTAAGCCACAGCCGAGGCACTCGAATTCCCCTGTGGGATGTTTCTAGTGGGCTTGCAAGCATTCTACATCGGTGAAATCCAAAGGCGCCATGACAGAGGTTTACAATCCGACTTACCGTCTTGCAGTCCGCTGTCATCAAAAGGTTGGTAAAATGAAACCAATTCGAGTCGGCCATAGACGCTTTATCTCTTTTTTTTTTTTTTTTTGTGACTCGGGTCTCGTGGGCATCTGGCGGAAAGTGACTCCGGCAGGTCAGAGCTCCAAGCCCACGCAGTCTGATCTTGCTCAAGCTGCTGTACCAATGCAACCCTGGCTCGGATCTGAATACCCATTTCCAAACTCTCTTAGGGGAACCGATCCGTCTGTTCCTCTGCCCTTGGACCCTCCGGCTGGTTTCTTAGTGCTGCCGGTTCCTATGCGCGCCTGGCGCCCTGTTGACGGGTCGTTGTCATGCATTAGACTGCGGGAGGAGGGCGCTGGTGTCTGACATGTCGCCCGTGCTCTCAGAATTCACACGCAACACCCGATACGTACTCCCACGTTAAAAGGTCGAAGCGGTCTTCAAAGTTACCGCCAGCAACTGTTTGAGAACCTCGAATTCGGTCTCCGTAAGGCCTTGGCGTTGTGTCAATCCAATTCTACGCCGTGATTTCGTCTACCGAAACCGTCCTCACTACTGCCCATCGAGTTGTCAATTGCTCCCTACAGCGGAATCCTCCAACATGGTCCGAATTGCGGCCTTCGAGGTGGAGCAATGGATGGACGAGTATGAGACTACCCCAGGATGCCTCAACATCGCCGAAACCTGCGCCGCCTCCGTCTCCGTGGATGAGTTGATGGGACTCTCCGAGGACAAGAGCGCTCCAGGCCCGATCGACTTCTCCACCAAGCTCGTCTACGGACCCATCCGCGGCTCTGATCCCCTCCGACAACGAGTCGCGGAATTGTGCGGCAGTGATGGTTCGGGCGACCGAAGTATTCTTGAACAGGACGATGTTCTCATCACCCAAGGCGCTATTGGAGCCAACTTCCTGTTGCTCTACACTCTCGTCAACCCCGGCGACCACGTCATCTGTGTGTATCCCACGTATCAACAGCTCTATGGCGTTCCCGAGAGTCTGGGTGCGGACGTCTCACTATGGAGACTGAAGGGGGAGAATGGCTTCGTTCCGGATGTCAAAGAACTCGAGGGTCTCGTCAAGTCCAACACTAAGGCATTCCTCCCTCTCGTCCTCTGCGGTTTTATTGACTAATAGTATTGCAGATGATAATCATCAACAACCCAAATAACCCCACAGGAGCACCAATCCCCACCACAGTGCTCAAGGACATCGTCGCCTTTGCCAAAACTCACAACCTCATCCTCTTTTCAGACGAGGTTTACCGCCCGCTTTTTCACAATTTCTTCGAGGATGGCTCCGAAGTGCCGCCCCCGGTCACCACTTTTGGCTACGAAAAGGTTATTGTCACAGGTTCCATGTCCAAGTCTTATGCGTTGGCTGGCATCCGGATCGGCTGGATCGCATCAAAAGACAAGGGCCTTATCCAGGCAATCGCTTCAGCAAGAGACTACACCACCATCAGCGTGTCCCAGATAGATGATCAGATCGCTTCCTATGCGCTTTCACGGCCAGTTTGGAAGCCGTTGCTAAAGCGTAACGTCGCGCTCGCTAACACGAACAAGGCGTTGCTAGAAGCCTTCATCGAAAAGCATAAGAACGTCTGCTCCTGGGTCAAGCCCAAGGCGGGAACCACGGCATTTGTCCAATTCACCCATGGTGGAAAGCCGGTAGATGATGTTAAGTTTTGCCTGGATGTTCTCAACAAAACGAAGGTGTTCTTCGTACCTGGGTCCAGATGCTTCGGGGATGGGAAGGACTTCCCGGGCTATGTCCGCATTGGCTATGTGTGCCACACGGAGGTGCTCAAGGAAGCTCTGGAGAAGCTCGAGAAATACGTCAAGGCCAATCTTTCATAGCCGAGAAACATCAAAATCCGCAAGACAATGCATTTCAGAAAAGGAAAAGAATGCCAATTGTGAATACCACCAAATGCCTGACCCGTCGCCGTTGAACCGGCCGGCGTAATCCCGCAGCAGCCATTCGTCCAGCTCCGGGAACGCCCCACTTCTCCACGAAAACACGTGCCGTCGCGGCCGGCGCGAATTCGGACCCCTGCAAAAAAAAAGTTTCGCATGCATTGTGTGGGAGTGCAAAAAAAAGTGCGCTATCAGACCATCCTGTCTCCAATGGGTCCCATCTCCCTCTTTTCGTAGTTCTACCTACTCCATTCTTTCCCTTCTGTATACGCCGCATACGCTTTTGGTCACGATGAGGGCTCCCAGGGCCGTCAGAGTGCCGAATGGCGGCCTCTTTACAGGCGCAAAGCCTTCGAGTCGGCCTTTCAGCATCGCCGTCAACGTGAAGGCTGCTGCTCCTGCCGCCGCCACCACCCAAGCGACCCCGGCATCATGGAAGCTCGCAAGGCGTGCGTTCTCCACGACCCCCCGCGTGCGATCTGCCGCTGAGGAGGCCCTGAAGCTGGCCCAGGAGAATGCCGCCGCCCTGACCCCCGAGGTCGTCGCCGCCAAGATGAGCCCCGAGGAGGCCCAGCGTCTCTCCCGCGTGCGCAATATCGGTATCGCCGCCCACATCGACTCCGGAAAGACGACATGTACCGAGCGAGTTCTCTTCTACTCTGGCAAGATCAAGGCTATCCACGAGGTCCGCGGAAAGGACTCCGTCGGCGCCAAGATGGACTCTATGGATCTCGAGAGAGAAAAAGGCATCACCATCCAGTCTGCGGCCACCTTCGCCGACTGGACTAAGAAGGAAAACGGAAAAGACGAAACATACCACATCAACATCATCGATACCCCCGGTCACATTGACTTCACTATCGAGGTCGAGCGCGCCCTGCGTGTTCTCGACGGTGCCGTCATGATTCTCTGCGCCGTCAGTGGTGTCCAGTCCCAGACCATCACCGTCGACCGTCAGATGAAGCGCTACAACGTCCCCCGCATCAGCTTTGTGAACAAGATGGACCGTATGGGTGCCAACCCCTGGAAGGCCGTCGAGCAGATCAACAAGAAGCTCAAGATCCCCGCCGCCGCGATCCAGGTCCCCATCGGTGCCGAGAACGAGTTCCAGGGCGTCATTGACATCATCGAGAAGAAGGCTTACTACTTTGAGGGCCCCCGTGGCACCCAGGTCAAGGTCGCTGATCTCCCCAACGGCTACGCCGACATCGTCGAGGAGAAGCGCCAGGAACTCATTGAGAAGCTTGCCGATGTCGACGACGAGATTGCCGAGATCTTCCTCGAGGAGCAGACCCCGACCATTCCCCAGATCAAGGCCGCCATCCGCCGTGCTACCATCGCCCTGAAGTTCTCCCCCGTCATGATGGGTTCCGCCCTCGCCGACAAGGGTATCCAGACCGTCCTTGACGCCGTCTGTGACTACCTGCCCAACCCCTCCGAGGTCGAGAACAAGGCTCTGGACAGGAAGCGCGACGAGACCGAGGTCAAGCTGGTGCCCTACAACTCGCTCCCCTTCGTCGGACTCGCCTTCAAGCTCGAGGAGAACAACTACGGCCAGCTCACCTACATCCGCGTCTACCAGGGCAAGCTCCGCAAGGGATCCTACCTGTTCAACTCCCGCACCGACAAGAAGGTTCGCATCCCCCGCATCGTCCGCATGCACTCCAACGAGATGGAGGACGTCAACGAGATCGGCGCCGGCGAGATCTGTGCCGTCTTCGGTGTCGACTGCGCCTCCGGCGACACCTTCACCGACGGAAACCTGCCCTACACCATGTCCTCCATGTTCGTCCCCGACGCCGTCATGTCGCTGTCCATTAAGCCCAAGCGCACCAGCGACGCCGACAACTTCTCCAAGGCCATGAACCGTTTCCAGCGCGAGGACCCCACCTTCCGTCTGCACGTCGACGAGGAGTCCGAGGAGACCATCATCTCCGGCATGGGCGAACTGCATCTCGAGATTTACGTCGAGCGTCTCCGCCGCGAGTACAAAGTCGACTGCGAGACCGGCAAGCCCCGCGTCTCGTACCGCGAGACCATCTCCCGCAGGACCGACTACGACTTCCTCTTCAAGAGACAGTCTGGTGGCCCTGGTGACTACGCCCGTGTCGCTGGTTGGATCGAGCCCTTCGAGGACCCCGAGAAGAACTTCTTCGAGACCCAGGTCGTTGGTGGCACCATTCCCGACAAGTTCCTTTCCGCTTGTGGCAAGGGCTTCGAGGAGGTCACCGAGAGGGGTCCCCTCCTCGGCCACAGGGTCATTGGTACCAAGATGATTGTCAACGACGGTTCCACCCACGTTACCGATTCCTCCGATCACGCCTTCAGCCTGGCCACCCAGATGGCTTTCCGCAAGGCCTTCGACGAGGCCGGTGGCCAGGTCCTCGAGCCCCTGATGAAGACCACCATCACCGCCCCCAACGAGTTCCAGGGTAACATCATCATGCTCATGAACAAGCGCAACGCCACCATCCACGACACCGAGGTTGGCACCGAAGACTTCACTCTCATCGCCGACTGCAGTCTCAACGCCATGTTCGGCTTCAGCTCTCAGCTCCGTGCCGCCACCCAGGGCAAGGGCGAGTTCTCCATGGAGTTCAGCCACTACGCCGCTGCTCCTCCCCACCTCCAGTACGTCTTCTTGCTCACCTGATGTTTGTGTATCATGCATGCTAACAATCCCGCAGAAAGGAGCTCATTGCCAACTACCAGAAGGAGTTGGCTGCCAAGCGCACCAAGTAAGCCACATAGGCTACCCCCACTGGGGTCTTGTATCAAATCCGTGGCCCGTTTGTGGCATCACGTCGTGTATCAACAGCGGACTGCCGCTCGGCGTCATGAGCTCGCCGAGAAGGGCCGGTCGTATGTCGCCTATTTGAGCGGCGTACATACATGTATATCTATCTAATGTCATACACCAGGAATGTAGAGTCTGGACGAAAATCACCCTGAAGCCTTGAATAGAGAGGCTTGCGGGGGTACGTGATTCATGATAGAAACTAGACTTTGAAGAAATACAGACCTCGTCTCTCCCAAAGTGCATTTCCATGCAACCGTCCCCATCATATCTCCGTTTTCGTCTTGTGCTTTTATCAATCCTAGCAATATGGCGACTCTGGGGGACGTTAACGTCGAGGGCTGATGAAAAGGGGCCTTTTTGGAGGAAGCTTTCTGCAGCTATTGGTGTCGACACTCTAAGAGAGCGAAACTACTGTTGTCTGCGTGAAGAGGATGTGATAGGGTTTATTGTTATTGGCGATAGACTTCGGGCTGTTGTCCCTCCCAACTTTCTCCCGGCTGCCATGACATACTCCAGCGAACGATCCCCAGGATCCTCAGCGGAAATGCTAAACTTCAAGCGATACTCAAACATTTTGCACAATCATCCTCTTGCTCGGGCCCCTTGAAACACGGCTTGATGCTCTGCTTGGACGCATACTGTCTGCCTCCGTTGATTGCCATGTGTATACGTAGGGTGTTGGACGTCGATCACGCTTGGTACTGGGATGACCAAAGCAGCTCAACCCGAAGCAGTTGTTTGCTTTTCTCGTTGCTTTCTCGGTTGTCGCATACGTGGGTGTCGGTGTTGGAACTGCTTCAATCTTCTCTGGCTCTGGCATCGAAGCTGATTCTTGTGGAGCTTGATGGTGTCGAGATGGCTTCAGTGGGGCTTTTTGCTTGAGCCAGTCGGCCAGCCGGTGGTGAGTCTTGGCATTTTCGCCGTTGTCGGTGTCTAATGCCAGAGAGCTCCGGCTCTGGGGCTGAGACGAGGGAGGGATAGGGATGATGGAAGCGTAAGAGGCCACGAAGCTCATGCTAGTGGCGATGGCTGGCATTTGTAGGGTTGCTGGGAGGAATTTCTGGGCGATGACCCTTTGGACAGCGTGTTTAAGCAGGAGCATGCGCGCAAGGTCTACGGAAGAGAAATTTCACTCATTGCACGGCAGGAAAGAGCGATGAATACCCAGAGTTGCTAGGTCAAACAAGTACTTTTAGTAATATGGTAGGTATCAAAGACGCAGCTGCCTGCGCCGACTGCCATATCCAGTCACGGAAGTTGCCTCATTCCAAATTTTATCCCGACACGATACCTTACATTCTACGGAGAACGTCGGCGACGACCTCACTAGTCTTGGCAGAGCCACCGAGATCGGGGGTGAGTAGCTTGCCTTCCTCCAAGTTGGCGTCAACAGCAGCGTAGATCTTGGCGGCGGCAGCCTCCTCGTTGAGGAACTCAAGCATCACAGCAGCGCTGCGAAGGGTGGCGATGGGGTTGGCGATGTCCATGCCCTGGATGTCAGGGGCAGAGCCGTGGCAGGGCTCGCCCATGGCGAAACCCTCGCCGACGTTGGCGCTGGGGACGAGACCAAGAGAACCGACGAGGGCGGCGGCGCCGTCAGAGAGGATGTCGCCGTACAGGTTGGGGGCGACGATGACGTCGTAGTCCTCGGGCTGGCGGAAGAGCTTGTAGACCATGGAGTCGACAATCTGCTCCTCAACGTTGACGCTGGAGAACTTGGGGTTGGCAAGGGCCTGCTTGGCGGTCTGGCGGAAGAGGCCGTCGGTCTGGGAGAGGACGTTGGACTTGTGGGTGATGGTGACGAGGGGGCTGCTGTGGATGCTGGAGGCACCGGTGGCGCGGACGTTCTGGCGGCGGAGGGCAATCTCACCGGCCATGGCGGCGATGCGGTGGGAGGCGTTCTCGCTGATGCGCTTGATGGCCTCGGCAATCTTGCCGTTGGGGCCGTCGTAGGTCTTCTCCTCCTTGACGTACAGGTCCTCGGTGTTCTCGCGGACGATGACCATGTCGATCAGCTTGCGGTCGGTGGAGACGGACTTGACGGGGCGGACGTTGGCGTAGAGGTCGAGCTTCTTGCGCAGGCCGACGATGGGGGAGGAGTAGCCCTTGCGCGGGGTAGTGGGGGAGGAGACGGCTCCGAAGAGGGCGCCATCGCACTCGTTCTTGAGGATCTCGACGGTCTTGTCGGGGAGGGCGGCGCCCGTCTGCTCGAAGGTCTCGAAACCGGCCTTGAGGTCGGTGAACTCGAACTTGAGGCCGAGGGAAGCGGGGAGGGCCTCGAGGATGCGGCGGCCGGCGGGGATGACCTCCTTGCCGATGCCGTCACCGGGGATCAGGCCTGGGAAATGTTAAGTAAATGCGGATTTGGTCAATTGAGTTTTCCCAAAGGTGTCCTACCGATTCTGAGAGTTCTAACAGACATGATGGGCTTCAATTGGCGGCCAGCGGGTGGATTGTCTTCTGGTTGAAGGATACGAAGCCCGACTCATTCACAGCCGAGACGCAAAAAAAGTAACCTGCATGGACGGTCGATATCGGAGGTCGGGCCAGCCACACCGAGGGCCGTTCGGCGAGCGACCAACGGGCGGCCGTTATTCTTGGAGCAGGGTCCAACACATCGGAGCTTTCGAACCGCGGCTACTTCCGCGCCATTGCGTCAGGTTCTTTGAAGGTGACCTTTTTGTTGGTCCTCTCCAGCGCTGCAACGAGGCGCATGATTCGCTTTCGTATCTCATCTTGGACAGCGGGTTTACGGTGGTATTGGACGGTCTGATGTCGGCCGTAGATGCGCTGTTCGCCCTGTATTGCCAGAAAGCGAGCTTCAGCGATTGAGTGAGTGCCTATTTGATTTCCGGAATGCTACCCATCCCCGCGGCACGCCCTGGGTACTCGGGCCACAGTCCTTCAGCATTAGCCGGCCCTACGATCTACCTCCTCATCAACGAACTTGCCCTAAGGGTACAAATGCACGGCACAGTAGTGCATCCGTACGGTGCCTGGTCGGGTCAGGTCAGGCCGCGAGCAGCAATGAGCATGGAGCGAGTCAATTGACGCAGCACAGCAAACTTGGGGCCTCACAGACGGAAATTATATGGGCAAGGTTGTCGCCGGTTGGCGGCCGAGGGGATGTGACGACCCCTGAGAGACTCCCCACATTCTTCGCTTCTAGCGTGTTGGAGAACAGAGGGAACAGCGCGGGCGTGCCGGGATTGAAGAGCTTCCAGAGAGCTTCCAGAGCATTGCGAGAGGGGAAGCTCTTCCCTCCCGAGGTGGGAAATGGAAGGCAAAAAGGGGGCCGTGCTGCAGACCGGAGTCGCGTTCCAGATACATGACTTTTTCTTCGATCTTCTTTTTTGCGTGATCCCAAGGATGATTGATTGTCATTTTCTTTGATCTTTGTCTCTTATTGTCAAACGGTGGAGGGCTCAGTTGCCAGAGCAGCCGGATAAGCTAGGGATAAAGCAAGCCTCTTGAGTAAACAAGAACGCCAACCTTTTTTTTCTTTTTTCTTTCCCTCCCTCCGTTGAGCCGTGTTTCGCGTCGCTCCTGCCCGTTGCCCCTTTTCTGAATAATGCATATTCTGATAAACGGGTTAAGCGGCAAGAGGCGGTAAGCTCGCAGTCCAGCAGACGCACTAATGCACAGCGGATGAGAAGAAGAGAGACTGTGAAACAGGAGACCGTGCATTGGAGCTATACCTAGCTTTCCCACTAGGTAATGAAAAAAANGTGAAACAGGAGACCGTGCATTGGAGCTATACCTAGCTTTCCCACTAGGTAATGAAAAAAAAAATCAAATGGACCTGAGAGAGAGAAAGAAAGCTCGCCCGGCGGAGTTCATGTCCATCACCTCAGAGACCGTTTGTAGGCGTGCTTCACTTTTGATAAGCTACAAGAGCTACCGCTGTAAGTTGTCAGCGCCGTCTCGTCATTGCGCCCGGTTGGCGGCATCCGACGGCTGCCAACCTGACATTGCTACCGAATTTCCCCTTTTTGTCGATCCTGCCGCGCCCAACAGTCAGGCACTAGCTGCAGATGCAGCTGCAGCTGCGGACTAAACCGCGGCGACGGCGGCATCGCACGGCCTGGGACAGCAGACAGACACGACAGAGTCCCTGAACACTTCAGGTGAGAGCAGAGAGAGGTAGGAGGGGCATTTTCCTACACGGGCAAGCACCACCAAGCCAAGGGATAGAGGGGAACGGAGTCTGGAGGGATGAATGGATGGAAAAGGGGGTCCGGCTGCCAACAGTGAGCTGTGAGGTTGTGTTTGACTTGTGATGTGTCTTTAAAAGTACTCGCGTAAGGTAATGAGTACCTCATATTGTTGGCATCCTGGGACCTATCACCGCCCACCCCTCAGTGTTTTTCATGTGTCAAATGACAATTCTTCAAAAAGGGAGGCCTGGGGGAGACCCTCGCTGACCAAGAGGCACTGGCTGTTAATGAGCAGCTTCCAGAACCATGTTCGACGACCCTGGGCCAATGGATCTCCCATTTGAGGCCCTGCAGGCATTTCGACAAGCGAGAGCAGCCGGAATGGCCAGTGGATGCCCGCCGTTGGAGCTCCTGCATGTTCTTTCTTGGGACTGGGAGGCTGGGAACGCGCACCGCGGCGTTGCAGTGAACGCGAACCATCCGTCTGGCTGGCTGTGTTAGCTGTGTAAGGTAGGCAGTGTACATGATGCATACAGGCATAAACTGCATATGCCACCAGTCCTTACATAAACGCGTCGCCAACACCACCCACCCACCGCCTCATGTTGAAGACGAGCTAACTCTGTGACAGTGAGCTGGCGTCGGGTCGGTTTGGCAGTGTAGCAGCGAATGAGCATGTGCATGTATGGGAACCCCTGAATGCTCGCGCACACCCCTCACAACGCCGCCCCCTCCCCCTAATGCTAGAGTGTACCTTGCTCTGTGACTCGGTATTAGTGTACAAC